GTGCCGGCATAGATCCCAGAATTCTGTACTACTTAGGTAACACCTTAGTAAACAAGTGTATCTGTAAGTGGTAGACGACAGGCGGAGCAAGCACAGGGATGCAGCACGTTCAGGATGCCAATTTTCTCGGCATCTCAAATTCCCATTGGGATCTCGCACCTCACAAACAGTAGTCCTAGTGAGCCCAAATGCATGTGTGGCTTTCACCACTATTGATCCCGCCGAATGAACACAAGCAGACTAGATTCAAACAATATAAGACACCAACCTCCTGTCTGAGAAAGGGACCACGGCAGTACCTCGACGCCCAGTGACTCCGTAATATTTGGCATGGCAGCACTAATATCTGACAATCCATTTGTTTGTTACACTTTCAAGGATGAATGCACTGCTGAAGTGACGGTGATCCACCCCGACAATATCACTAAGCAATCAAGACACAACTATACAATTGGTTTTGTGACATACGCACGGAGTTGGGAAACTATCTGCATTACACGCAGATGAAATAAAAGACCCACTCATATTTAACAACCAGACAAGCGACTGTTAGAAACCACCTGCAGCCTGGAAATAAATCTTGGCCCACTGTCGATTTGGACTAAAACCATGTTGGGCGTGACGACTAGCTTTCACCGGTACACGAAAGACTAGACGTTCGACAGAAACAGCAGACGTCCTTTGCAAACTGTGTCAAAATCTTATATATTCTAGCCTCGGGAACAAGCTGAATAACTTCATGTGACATTATTTCATTGCGAATTAACCTCAACTAACCTTTGTCTATCAGGTTAGGGGACTATGTCACATTTTCCAATGCTTATGTGCGCATCCGCTTGTTACTTGTAAGAGATGATTATTTTGGCAAGTGTATTCGGAATGGTCAGTATTCGAAAATTGGGTTGAATGTGTCTGCCCACTGATCCACTAGTGAAGAAAACCTGATAGCTTACTGAGATGATCTGTAACTAGAGGCCTCCAGTACCATCTTACCCCGATTTATTAGATCGTCGACAAATGTATCAACGCGTGTTGGCATAGGAATTTTGACTTTCTTTTGCTGAGTCAACTTTGGTATTAAGTAAAGTGCATAAACTGTAGGGCTATCCAAAGTAAGGTAGCCGGAATGATCCGACGATCAGCTTTGTAGGGATCGTGGATGAGACGGGGAACCGAAAGGATGGTTCACCGGGAAGTGGCCTCGTTTATGTGATGCTCATCATTATAGGAATTGAGTTTCTTTGCATAAGAAAGAATCTGTGACAAATGGAATTTTGAGTTTTGCAACGTTTAGTGTAGGTACTGAACAGTTATACGCATGCTCATTAATCCAATCAAAGTCGTACATTGAAACAACACCTCACCATTGAGAGTCGGATGCCGCCTTATGGGAGGGAATAAATGAAACAGTCGGCCAATGAAAAGAGTTTGCCTGTGTTTCAGAACCTCTTGAAAAGCTAAGATCTGCCTAAGGCACTCTCGTCCAAGACTAAAACCTATGTGGATTTATCCAGTTTCTTGTTCCGTAAATCAGGTTAGCAGTTGAATAAATACGGATTTAAGGTCTCACATACCACACAGTGAAACAGTAGCACTTACTAGATAACGTTTTGGACACAATTTATTGTCCATATTCATGTCAGGTAACTCCACAACTTCGAGACAGACTTTATGTATTCCTGATTTTCTCTCCCTCTCTGTAATGACAAGGGTAGTAGAATTTTCCATATATCTGGGAACAGGTGCAGAACCATTTCCACTACTGCGTGTATTTGGTGTTGATTCGATAAATAAAGATTCGGTTATCAATCTCTCCTTCCACCCAACTAAGTCAGTTGGGTGTGTGGGCTATAGCTCTGCATGAGATGACAGACAATCACACAGTAAGGTGGGATAGGGCGACAGTGTTGAAAACTAACTTAGTTGGGTAGAGGGAGGGATTGATAACCGAATCTTTGTTTATCGAATCAACACCAAATACACGCAGTAGTGGAAATGGTTCTGCACCTGTTCCCAGACATATGGAAAACTCTACTACCCTTGTCATTACAGAGAAGGAGAAAATCAGGAATATACAAAAATGTCTCGAAGTTGTGGAGTTACCTGATATGAATGTGGACAATAAATTGTGTCCAAAACGTTATCCAATAAATGCTACTGTTACACTGTGTGATATTTCTAATAAACAGACTGAAATGGAATTGCAATCGACCACAGTGCCCAAGTTTTACTTTTATAGTAATAAAGGCCTCACATAAAATATTTGTCAAAATCATCCGTATAACCTTATCGCAAGGAGACATATGACCATCTACACAAAAAAAGAATTGCCAGTAAAAGAAAGAAGAATTCAGAAACTACTGATACCACACCACAGTGAATGTAGCCTACGTGCATTAAATAAGTAAACATCCATGAAATAAGATGTCCAAAAAACATATCCGATAGCCTACATCGCCTCAGCCTCTACACGGCCTTCTCAACTTCGAGGCGATTCGGAGGACCGACATTTACGCCGCATTCAGGGACGGGCTGGGTGCGGAGCAACTGAAGTGGTGCTGTAGACCGACTTGACTCTGTTTCAAAGTCTCACGCCCAACCTTCTATTCGTTCATCTCAGAGGTTATCCGCGTCCCATCCTTTTCCGTGATGGTTTCACTAACCACCGTCTTCTCTTTCGCCCGTATTCTCGATAAACCCAAACAATTGCCGGGTACCACCTAGTGCTGATGCCTTCTCTACCTCTCTCGCTTTCACCACTGCTCACAACCATCACAGACTCTCAATCAATTTACGTCCAGGTTGCTTGGGCTCTTCATTGTAGTCAAAACCAGCTGGAATCAGTCTTTTTGCATTAATCAGTTAGGACGGCGGTGGAGAAACTCGATGACGTTTGCTAAACTTCGGGTGTAGGTTACCAACTGTCTTTACAGCTTTTTCTACAGCGAATATTGCGCTAGAACTCCTTATGATGAAGTTTGCGGGTATGTGCATATATGCATTTGGATACATCCTCCCTACATGGCTGCTTCACATTGTTATTGAAGAACTTCATGGATGCCAACTAACTGATCGTGAAAATTTATCGTTTCCTCACGTATTGACGTGGAAGGGGATGGGCAGTTTAGTAGCAAGTACCGGTCAACGGTCCTGATACCGACATCGTCACCGGAGTCCACAAACAATCAGTGTTTACAGATTTATGGATAGAACAGTATGCGCTCCTTTCATTATGGCCGTAGGAATGTTTGCTGAAATGTGACCAACTTAATAGTCACTTAGGATGACTGAACGGCTGTCCGGGGCCAATAGAATGTTGCTTAACCTTTGTCCACATCGTGAAGGTGTTTGCACAAGTTCTGCACTATACGCTGTTTGCCAAAACTGCCACAGATTGTACCGCCGAATCCGTTTTTCTGGCTCCAGGTGTACCAAAGTGGCAACTATTCTCACAAATAAGTGGACTGAATAAAGTCAAGATGGAGGTACTCAACTCCCAGACAATCCTAGGTTTCATCGTAGGACGCTATTATTACTGCTCGCCATCACTGACCTTCAAAGGAAAGCCTAATCACCTACGCTTCACTTTGCTCACGATTTAAAAATACGGAGGGTTGTGGCCGTGAGCAGCTCCAGGACAACCTAAGACAACCATAGTCATGAACTCTCTAGAACAAGGAGGTTACAGGCTTAAGAGAAACGGTGTTATGCATCGTTCAATTTTCATAGCTGTAGCGACTGAACATAGGTTGGGTGGCCGTCTCATAATCGAAGAGTTTGGTCGGAGTAAATTCAAACTTAACTTCTCCGGTCCGCTAAACACTAGTGCAATCTACAGTGGATTGGAAGGTAAAAGAAACGACATTTTTCATCTCCTGTGCAGGTACCTTAGCACATATTCCATAGAAGCTTCACAAAATCTCCAAAGGATACATTAGGCAGAATCTTAAGTACTTAATTTATAGCCCCTTCTCAAATAAGGTGAGACTCCAGCCTACTTGAGAAGGTGCATATAATGTCAGCGAAGACATTCATCAGTCTAAGATAAAAATCACCCCGACTACCCTAGTGAAGTTATCCCACTTATACTATGCCACCGTCTTCCAAAAGACTAATTCGTCACAGCCTAAAAGGTATGAATAGTGCTGAAAAGCAAATTCCACCTATCGCAGAACGACCATCACGAGGAATCCCGGTAAGAACAGCTCACCATAGAGATGAAGATTACGGTGGATTTAACTTGTTTTCCCCTGTATTATATGATGCATTGAACATCCCACAACAAGTTGTGGCAGCAGCTTCCCCTTCAAAGTTTTTGGAAAGAAGGCTGGATATTTACGATTTCCCATGAACATTCGCAGGTTATTCCTAACATAACTGACAGACCTACTAAACACCCCATTTACTCTGACCATCTGCCTACATTCTTTCGTCCTGTCAACCAGTAGTCCCCTTTTTCAGTCACTGCTTCTGCCTTCAGGCACAAGGGCTGCCAGGAGACCTTTAAGTCTTACCAGTAACCCAATTGACATTATGAGTACTCAAAATCAGACTAGAACCACAGATCCTTATCGAGTGGCTACCCCCCGTAGGTTAAACACAGCAGGGCAGAGCAGACTTACTGGTTCATAGAATCTGTACAACCTAACCTAACAAACTAGGCCTCACGATGAATAAGCGATAGTTCCGAAACGTTTAGTTCACTTCGCTTTCATAACTGGTCCTGATCCCTGGCTATTCGCGCCGGAAGGATGGTTGAGGCTGCATTGGTGAAAATCGGTTCGAAGGGAGAGAATAAATAAAACATGTAAATAGGATAGTCATCATGAGGAGTACTGAATACCAGTATTCGATGACGCTTGGTCTGTTGCAAAAGAAAGGCAAATTTCCTACCTTTTTGAAGTAAATAACTGTCTCAAATGCAATTCTGACAATGTACTGCCAGATCAATACCATCAAGCAGACATGTGGCAAGGCAAGCGTAATTCCTACGTTGGACACTGAAAACCATTCGTAGTACAATGGCGCTCTCCAAAACGACCGGTAGAATCACGAAGGTGGTGGATCTTGTTTCAAGTATGTTTGCCTATTATTCCTATGCCCACAGAGGCTTCATCTCTTATGGTAACGGAAGCCATACCTAGGTTGAACGTTTTCAAGGTATACGCACGTGTGGAACTAAGGCCGCCGAGGTTAAGTGAATTAAAACCAGCGTTAGAAGAGACACGCAAACTTATCAGTGCTGGAAAAAGTGGTGCTTGGAAGAATGTTACTGTAAAGGTATTTGTTAGATCAACACAATATTAAATATTTATAGGAGGGACTAGTTAACGCTGCAGTGACAGCAGAAGTATTATTTTGGTTTTTTTTCGGCGAGATGATTGGACGAAGAAGCTTCCTTGGATATAGTCGTGTACCGGGTGCTTACCTAAAACACCACTGATTTGACCATTTGTGTAACTCCTGTAATGCGTAGAAGTTTATGTAGATATAGTAGGATTTGTAGTGACGAACAAATTAGAGGTGTTATACGTTGTTGTCACACTTGTTGTTATATTTCCCACTAGCTACACATTTTCATTAAAAACCTTTTTTTGAATGCGTTTTGTTATATGAAATGTGTGTTGCTTGATGTGTGTGTGCGTGTGTGTCTCAAAGATAAGTTCCTCAAGTATGCTCCATAGAATTCCTAGCAAATTGTTCCCACACTTCTGTTTGTTTTCAGTTATAAGGGTAGTAGGCCATTCGCTTCCATGTCCTCACAACCCGAAAACTCACTACTTTAAGATTATTTTCCCAATTGGCTTGTCGAGCTTTAAGTTTGGCGATGGCTTCTCTTCTTTTTATTCGGTCCTCGAGGGGCCAGTCAGGTTGGATGCGATATGCAAACTTCGCAGTTTTGATGCGTTGCTCAAGAGTACATCCACTTCTTTGTTGCCTGAAACAACCTTTAAACTTCTCATCAGGTTTTTCATCCTTTTTTTTACCTACCTTGACCACTTTGGAGATGTGTACTCCCTTGAACTTTTCAGGTAAAATACGTCTGATGGTCGACTCGACTAGTTTCATGTCATGGCTATGACTTATTCAAGGGTCTTTGTCCGAAAACTCCTCAACATTTCAGATCACACTGGTGTGGAATCCTTGAGTGGCGTGTTAATGGCCTTCGAAACCTTCTCATTAGGTTTCATAAGCTTAGTAACTTCAGTGATAACCTTTTTAGGTTTCTTCGAATTCTGTCTTGCAGAAACCCATGTACATTCGTTGAAAATCTTTATCGAGTCAATGTTGTTAGCAGAAGTGTTGTCTTTTGGTGAGTCCTTAGGCGTTATAGTTGGTGTACCAGTTGCTCTCGGTTTTCTCTTGCGTCGGGTACTCATCGGAACTGGTGTAATCTCACCAATTAGATCACTAGCATCCAGTAGTCCATTAAGATCCTGTGTCAAATGTATTAACGGTAACACTTGCAGCGTCGTCATCTGATGCCGCATTAGAATAACAGCTCTCATTCTCACATAGCTGTTTTTTAACGAGTAACATTCAGACAGCTGCCTGGATTAGGGCTGACAACGGTTTACAGCATAAATCACATAACCGGGGAGAAGCTGGTTTGCTGCAACGCTCGCAGACGGTTGGTGTCAATCCAGTACAAACTTCGTGGAAATAACATCCATATCCATCACACCGCATACCTTCATCAACTGGAAATTTACAGCTGGGACGACCGCAAACACGTTTATCGCTGAGCATGTTATTCACAATTCCGTTTTTACTAGTACCGTGTACTGACTGAAGTATCTGATCAAAATTTAGACACAAGGACTTAAGTTGTGACAACACAAAAAGGAACCTTTAGCCACCGACTCAAGTCAAGGTTTATAAGAAAGCCTGCTATGTGAAATACACAACAAAAGCGTGGGAGAATTCACTTCCTGTTTTCAAAATGCGCGTGGTATATATATAACCCCTGGGATAGTTATTTCAGTGTGTTGAGTCAAGTTCTCAGTAATAAGGATAGTAAATTAGTTGGGTTGTGTTTATCCTTGCAGAAGATAACTGTGTGTATACCTAGTTCCTTCTTTAGCGCATTAACTGACTTTGCTGATACTACTTGTTGGGGTAAAGATCTCCAGTCGTTGACCACACAATAGAAGGAACGCAGATCCGCGCTAAGTTGTTTCGGTCGCGATTTTTGAATTTTTTTGTGATCCCCTCGGATATAGTCAGTCCTAGCAGGAGAAAAAAGATAGGACATATCAGTACCGAAGTCTTTATTAAAGACATGGAGTCCCGGCATGAGATCACTCTGTTTCCTGTGGTAAGACAATGGGAATAAGTTCAACCGACCAGGTCGTTCCTCATAGGAAAAATTCGAAAGGCCTGCCACTAGCTTAGTGCCTACCTTCTAAACACGCTCGAGTATGTCAACACCCCTTTTACGGAATGAACTGACCACTCGGATGCAGTAATCCAAGTGGGGTCTAACGTAAGTAGGATAGAGTATTCTGAATGTCTTGGTCAAAGCTTTTGAAAGCTCTGCGGATGGAACTCATAACCCGGGAACCTACAATTTTACGATTGTTTCCTCCATTAATTTTTCGAGCCTTAGGTTCGGCGATCGCTTCTCTTTTTATCTGGTCCTCGAGAGGCCAGTCAGGTCGGATGCGGATATGCAGTTTTCGTAGTTTGGATGCGTTACTTAAGAGTACATTCACTTTGCTGCGGAGAACAACATTTGGCATCCTACTCTCGTTGGAGTTGTCATCCATTTTTCCCTTACCTGCTACCTGAAACGTCTAAAAGAGTACACATGTTTGACGGCCGACTCGACCAGCTTCAGATAAGATAATGTGAATGACTAGAGTTCTGCGAGGCAAACACTTGCTTTGCGAAACAACTGAACCAAGGCTTAGAGACTCGATGTTGAAGACGTAGGATGGTTATATTACTGTTACGTCGCGAATTGAGAGGCCGGATGACCTAATCAGGAAGATATATGTCCCCCTCCATATCTCTGTATAAAGCGCCCAAGTATTAAATCCGCTTCGGGGACCAAGTACTCATATGTACGTGGTAACAATTGTCTTAAGATCACGAATCAGAGTTAAAGGATTTCCATTCGACATGATTGCTTCTCAAGAGTGTCTGGTTACTCGAGCATAGGTTGTTGTTTGCATTTACAAATAACTTTGCTGCTGCACTATACCTGAATTTCCAACGATGAGTAATTTAGTACGTTGACTCGAACGTTCAAATCAGTAAACACTAGATCTGTAAGTAATCAGTGCGTTGCGGACTACACTCAATGATCCTTGTTTGAGTATATGGCAACCTACTAGCACAAAACAGTAAATTGTGGACGACGTCGAGTGCAGTTATTGGCATTTAGATTGAGTCGTTGGCCCTCACGTGGTAGGTGTCTCCATGCTGTCTTAAAAGATATATACTAATATACCTGCCCTACATTTACTGAGACAGATCATTAAAATAGCGTACATCGCTGACATATTTTACAGAAGCCGATGGAGGAATCACTCATCATCATCATCATTATCAACATAGGACCAGGCATTACTGCGTAACGGTCCGAGTTGCCACACCTCATATCAGCACATCAAGTAAAAAGGTAGTGAGGTGAAGGATGAAGATAAGTGAATGCAGTCAAAAGAAATATAAAGTATGAGAAGAAAGGAAAGAGGAGTGACAAAATAGTGAGATTCGGTATAGCGTTGTTAAGATGAGGATAATGTGTGTATACATCTGCGCCACTGACTTCGGTTCTGAGCCATATCACCTAGGGTCTCCAACCACTGGTTCCTCTTGTCCCGTGGACCCCAACCACCTAGTCTGCATCGTCCTACATGGCTTAAACCAACAGTCAGAGACTTCATACATTGGTGCCATGTTTTAGTCTGGCCACCTCGGGCCTTTTTCCAGCCTGAACCCACCTCAGCCAACATTGTGTGACGAGGCAATCGGTGACTAGGCATACGTAGTACGTGTCCCAACCATCTCAGTCGATGAAGGTTCACAACCTCGTCGACTGACTTACCTCTTCTCCCTAAAACTCTACACCTAACTTCTGCATTACTCACATGGTGACACCACGGAATACGTCCTATACTACGAAGGCAACGGTGGTCAAATACCTGTAACCTTCTCATGTCTTCCACTTTCAATGGCCATGTTTCACAGCCATACAGTAGAACAGAGCGGACTGCTGTGCAGTACACGCGACCCTTAATAGACAAACGAATATCACGGCGGCGCCATAGGTGGCGCAAATTGGCAAAAGCCAATCGAGCCTTTTGTATCCGTGCAGAAATCTCATCGGCAACTAACCCACCGGGTTGATCCTACTTCCCAGGTAAGTGAAGTGGTCAACACACTCAACCACTTCACTCTCTATTGTTAACCGCGGTACCGCTGAAGACCAGTCCTGGAGCAAAAATTTGCATTTGGGTGGTGAAAATCGCATCCCAAACATTCTCAAATTCCCACTCAAAGTGTTCAGAAGACTCTGCATCTTGTCAGCGTCTTCACCTAACAGGACTATGTCATCTGCATATTCTAGATCTAAGGAAAATTCACCTGTGATCCGGTCAACGTCTTTGTAATTAGGTGACGAGAGGGAAACCTCCATAAGAATATCTATGATAAAATTAAATAAGAATGGGGATAGTGGGCATCCTTGACGGACACCACTTGATGAGTATAGCTCCCTGGACAACTCACCATAGGCTCTAACATGCCCACAAGTGTTCGAGTAGAGAGCTTTCAATAAGGTGATGTACTTACTAGGCACGCCTTTCAGTGACAGACACTGCCATAAGACTTCTCGATCAACGGAGTCAAATGCCGCCTTCAGGTCGAGAAATACAGCTATTGTCGGGCGTCTGTAAGCATGCCTATGTTCCAGGACCTGGCGCAGTGTGAATATTTGGTCGATACATCCACGGCCAGGTCTAAAGCCTGCCTGGTTTTCTCGGGCTTGCTGTTCCCGAGCTCCACTCAGGCGTCGGAGAATTATAGAACTTAGGATCTTAGACACTATGTTTGTCAGGCTGATTCCTCTGTGGTTATCACAAGAGGACTTCTCGCCTTTCTTGAAGACTGGGATGATGAGTGACTTAGACCAGTCGGAGGGGATCGTATTTGATTCCCATATACTGGCTAACACTTCCGTTAGCCTGACTAAGAGAACTCTACCACCATTCTTGTATACCTCAGCAGGTAGTCCGTCTGGTCCTGCTGCCCTTCCCCGTTTCAGGCTACCTACCGCTTTCTCAACTTCTTCTAGTGTTGGGGGACCTGTCTCTATGTCCCATTCAGGGTCCGACTGGATAGCGGGCAGCGCAATGGTGGCTGGAGGCCAGTTAAACTGTTCCTCAAAGTGTTCTGCCCATCGTCCCAGTCGCCTTCCCTGCGAGTGAATCGCCGATCCGTCCTTCTCCGCTATAACCTCACTAACTGTTGTTGACCATTTCCCCCCAGTCTCCTTAATAAGTCTAAATAACTGTCTACTGTTACCGATCGCCGCTGCCTTTTCCATCTCTTTAGCCTTTGCTGCCCACCACTGTTCACGATCGTTGCGCAGACTTTTCGTCAGTTTATTTTTAAGTTGCGCTCGCTCTTCATTGTACTCAGAGCCTGCAGGGATGCATTCACGTGCATCCATTAGTTTGGAAGAAGCTGCTGATATCCACTGGCTCTTTTTAGCCATTATCTTGGAGTCGGCTACAGTCTCCAGTGCTGCTTTTACAGTAGACTGAAGAT